CCTCTTTCTTTCTCCCCCCTCCTCTCTTTTGTTCTCCTCTTTCCATTTTTACACTCTTTCTTCCCCCTCCTCTTTCTTTCTTCTCTCCTGCCATCCCCCCCTCTCCTTTTCTCACCATTCCACCCTTCCTCCTCTTCTCTTTCCATTCCTCCCCCTCTCCCTTCCTCACTTTCTCTCTCTTCCTCCCTCCCTCACTTTCACCTTTGCTCTCTCTAGTGTGCTCTCTCCTTCTACCTTCCCCAATGCCAACATTTTAAAATATAACCCCCATGGAGGGAATTTTACTGTAGTGTTTGTGATGAGGTCTATCGATTAATAGTTTGAAGGACAAACATTCTGCCCCCCCCCCCCCCCCCAACTACTAATATCACTAGTACAACTAGTAGTGCTATTCGACAAATACTGCTACTACCATTACTAATACTAATACTAGTATTTCAACTGGTATTAATACTAAATGACTCTTACTACTACTACTACTAATAGTAGTTGTACTAAAAATACTACCAGTAGCAGTGACCCAGCAACTGATATTACTACTCTTACTACTATTAGAAAACATACTACCAGTATTTATACTGCTATTAATACCACAACTACTACTCATTTTACTACAAATACTACAATGACTAACAGTTTAGTACTACAGATGATAAAACTAGTAGTAAATTACAACTACTACCAATATTACTACAAAAAATAAATGTTTTAAGACTCAACTCAGCTTTTGTCATTTCTGAATTTTCAGCAATTCTTTTCCGCTTCTCCCATTTCTGTATTTTCAGCAATTTCAAATTAATTTCAGCTTTTCTAATATCTGTAATTTTAGCAAATGTATTAAAATTCCCTTCAACTTTCTGTATTTTCAGCAATTTTCTGAAGTTCATTTCAGCAACGCATTTTCAGCAGGAAATGCATTTTCTAGTTAACATTACGTTATCATTAATGTGTTGAAGTGTGTCATTTCCCTCACAGAACTCATAGCTGGGTTACTGTTTAGGTGTATTGTCATGGAAATGAGCATTAAATACATCTGTATCTGTTATCTTCGTAGACCTTCAACACTCCATTGTGGTATTATTACTTTCTGTCCCCCCCTCCCCCCCCCCCCCATAGGTTTTTGTTTTTGTCTATACATTGTTGTATTTTCAGCCATTGCTGAGTAAAGCGTCTGCAAAGAGAACTTCATGTTCATATTTGTGTTTTTCATGAATCTACATTGTATTGTAGAGCCTTTTGTGATTGGTTGGCATCTATAAACTGTTGACGGTCTCATTGAGCACCGACACCACTTTAGGAAACTGATGGGCAGCAACACACAATACAGAATACCCTGAGTCTGTTGTGCGTTCACTGCACACATGCTTATCACAGCGAATTAAGAAAACGTCTACCATGGAAACTGAGCTTTTACATTGTTGTCAAGGAAACTAGATACTTCTGTTATCATTGTACTGCTGCTTTAAAAGAAATCATTCATAGATCACACGCGTGCTGCATTAGTGTGGGTGCTATTTTTCCCACACCAGAGGTATTCGTTAATGTTACAGTCCACTGACTGCAGCGTTCGTAAAATCTTTTTTGTGTCAAACCAAGCTGGTGCACCTGCTAACATCAGTCCATGCATTTGATCGGGGCTTTCATAGTCATGCTTCCTGTGTTTGTGGTGCGTTTCACAGGTCCAGACACTGCTGCAACAGATGCAGGACAAGTTCCAGACCATGTCAGACCAGATCATCGGGAGGAATATCCTAACCATTTCAAATGCAACCAATCAAGTGTTCATTGATTTAAAATGCATGGGTAGTGAAGTTTAATCATATTTAACGATGTCTCAAGAGTGGACAGTTGTCCCCATTTTAGAGTCATTTCGTTAGTTCTCCTGTTCTTTATGTGCCTTGACCACTCCCCACTCGATGAGATGAGCACGCGCATCGATGACTTGGAGAAGAACATCACCGACCTGATGACCCAGGCTGGTGTCGAAGAGATAGAGGCTGCACCGGAAAAGGCTAAAGAGGGTCCAGGCTCATAGTGAAGGTAAGCTGTAGCCCCACACCATAATAATCCGCTTTGGTCGCACTTTACGCTTTGCTTCGGGCTCCATGGTTGTCGTCTCCAACGCAGACCGTTGTTTTGTCTCTCGCAGGTTCCCAAGCATCTCGGAGTGACGTTGATCCCACATTCAGGAGCAGCAAACGACTTTTGATTTAGTGTTGTGTGAAATGCTTTTTTTATATATTGGATATTGTGATAACACGATTAGTCGTGTAATGACTTGACAAGTCGATCGTCAATTGTATGTTAGAATAGTGTGGAATGCAGTGATAATCAAAAGTTATTTTCATGGGCTTAGTTGGGGGTTTGCTGTCTAGTCTTGATTTAAGAATTAGGTAAAGGGGGGTAAGCAGGATCTGCCAAGCAGGCAGACACGAGTCTGACAGGATGGGGAGTCAGTTTATGTCCTGGCTGAGGAATGTAAGGTCTGCGGGTCAACTAGAAGATTTACCAGCCAAAGGGGGGTTAGGGACACACCAACACTATTCAACATACACACTCTGTTTACGATGTTTACGTTAAGTCAGGAGTCTGGACATTGGATGTGACCGGATCTTAGATGCGGGAGGTGGAAGGTCCTCCTCTACGCCAGTTTAGGGCCAATAGAAATCTTTCCTTCTCTGTCTTTCAAGGGTTATAAAACATGATGTTCTTGCTGATGTTAGTTAGTTGTTCTTCCGGCCTGTGTGCTGCCTGAACTGCTCCTGCCTTTGCAAACGCAGCGCTGATACTTGACCTGTGATCTGACAAATAAATTTTCCAGAACGAGAGAAGTTATTCGGCTGAATTTTTGATAACCCCGACCAGGCTCCAAATCTTGAACACGTATTCTTACAGCAGCGACCCAGAGCTCATCTCTCTGCCCTCATACACTTAATTAGCGGGGGGCTGATGGGGACAGTTAAGCACCTGTGCCGAGGTTCAACCTGCACTTGGCGTTGCACACCAGGCCAGAGGAACCTCCAGCCCAACCAACTTGGCGCAGTGATCATCTGAAGTTTGTTTCAGCACTGTTGCTACCAAGCTGTGGGATGCGTCCCAAGTTCCACAGATTCTCTTCTATTAAAGCTATTTAATACAATGCTTTCCGTCTTGTATCACACAAGTATTTGGCCAGGTGGGTTTAAGGATAGACACAACTCCTAGGTGCTAATCGTTTTCCTAAGCCAAAGTTGAATTTGATCTTGCAAACTATCTGAAATGTTTCAGTGTTGCATGTTGGTAGTCTAGATTGTTTTAGATGTATTGAAATGAAGTTTGTTACTAGGCTGGGAAATTTGCTGTTGTGAATAATATGTTAACCATTTAATGTGAACTGAATTAGGTAGAATGGCTTCAAAAAAGAGTCACATGACTTCAAACAAAATTTACAGAGCAAATGACCAACAGAATTAAGTGCCAAAAGCCTTAAACATAATTTAGCAGTAAGCAAAGCATGTTATACAATGTAAGGAAGTAGAAAATCGGTAGTGGACATTTTATGAATGCAATATTAAAGTTTTGTATGTATTATTAATTACAAAGTTAGAACTCAAAGTCGTCCTCCGTCATGTTGATGGCCCAGGCAAATTTGTCCCTTTACCCCTTATTGTATATATTTTCTATTCGTACCTCCATGTTCTTGCACCTGAACAAATGGAAAAACAAAGTTAAAACCACGAGCTAATCTTGTTACCGGTCCCAAATATTCGCAATAAAAAAATAAAAAAAGGGGATACTGATAAAATCGATACAAACTAACCAGAAAATTAATCATAATAAAAGCCCTATATGTTGACAACTTAAATAATCTATTTCTATGGACATTGGTGTGTTGGATAAACAAGCAGTTATGAATAATTAATAGATTCAAACAACTGTATTTATGCCCAAGAGTGAAATATTTTATATTAAGCCGGAAACGAAGTTCTGCTAATGCAGATATGTGTTGTGGAACATGCAGAAGCATCCTGCTCTCCATCAGAACGTGCTGTAGTTTTTCCAGACAGACTGGTAAGTCATGTGAGTCACGTATTTACATTTTGATCTGATGCACGCGGGTGACTGCGAGGCTTAACACCAAGTGAAAGAGAAACTGCATCACAAAACCCCAGTTAAGCCCGTGTTCTCGACGAGGCCTTGAGGAGCCCGCGTGGTAATGGTCACTCACCAGGCCACGCTGATGCGTGGGTCCAGGTAGCTGACCTTTGAGGTACCAAGTGCAATCTGTTTGTTTTCCTCTTTGTTTATCGCCTGGACATCCAACTTCAGCAGCTTCTCCTTGCAGCACCGCACCGCTGCCTTCTTGTCCACGACCTGACTGATGGAAATCACACGTTTGTTTTTTTTCTTCTGTTAATGGGAGTTCTTTCCACATTGTCATCCGTGTGCAGGCCAGTTCAGAACGTGTTGTGTGCTGGCGAAAACAAAAAAAGGCCACGCATGTACAAACGGCAGAACAGTGACAGTTACAACAACCCTGTGTTGTAACAAATGGCTTAGAGTTGTCCCTGAAGGACCTCGACATGCCTGCCACAGAAACTAGCGTTCCCACCCTGTGCCACACACTGCAACGTACCGCTAACAAAAAGAACAAGGACACACAAAGAGTAAAAAGGACGGCAGCGGAGACGCCAACACAACTCCCTGACAGCTTGAGTGAGGCTCATTATTCACCGTGGAGCAGTTTCCCCCGTTTGGAGGCACCTAAACCTGCCCGTTAACTTTCCATTGGTACTCGTTATTGTAATGGTTTTGTCCACAGCACTACGATGACACGTACGTCTGCAGCTTGGGGTCCGAGCTGCCTTTGGTCTTCGCCTCCTTCTTGGCATGTTTGAGCTCCGTCTTTAAGAGTGCCAGATATTTCTTCTGATCATCAATCTGGATGAAGCACACGTGGATATGGTTAAAATGTGGAACACTTTCAGATTGCGCTGGAAATGTTATGAAAACTGTTATGGTGACATACTGTGATGAAACGTGAATGTGATGAACGACCGATAAATTACGTAGACGTCTTCTTACCTTGGCCTGGAGGTTAGCCATAGACTGCTCGAAGGTCTTTGGCAGCGCCCGCTTGTGGTTACACAGAATGGCAACTGCTCTGTTTGCCTTGTTGTAGCACAGCAGCTTCTCCTGCTCATTGTCAGACTCTGTGAGGGGAGAGTTATTTATATTTTTAAGAGGTAAATCTCACAACAACACAAAGATATTTAATAATTCTGTGTCACTTTTACATTTCATTTCATTTATTCAGATCACTATAAGCGTCAGTGGCACAGTGGCAATCCATAGATGAGGAGAGCGTGTGAGAAACCGTCAGAGGAAGCCCGATAAGAGTGAGGCAGAGAGTCACAGCGCGCAGTAATAAGGTGCTCCCGGAACAGTGGTCTGGTCGTACGACGGAAGGCTGTAGCATCAAAACATTAAAAACTTTCCTGCTGCTTTGGAATACGAGACGGTGTCGTTTGTGGCGTCATGTTAAACCGCTATTCGCGTGTGATACTCACTGCTCTTTGAGCTGCTCCTGTAATGTGATGGAAGCGTTGTACGTCCTGAAGACCCTGGCGGTCAGACTGGTCATTAGAGAGCTCAGGTGCTTGTTCAGCATGATAGTCTGCAACGGATTAATGGGGAGGGGAGCGAGGGAAGGCCGAGACAACACATTCACATTATTCACATCAGTGCGCAGCGAACCCCACCAAACCGAGCCGCTGCCACCGGGTGGCACTGCACCTCTGCAGTGTTTCAAGCGTCACTGACCGCCATTAGAGCGGAGAGTTAAAAGAACTCAAAGTACCATTTCTCCTCTGACATTTCTGTAGGTATTAGAAACAGAGCTTGCATAGTCAACGGTCGGATAGCCATTAGTTCCCGTTAAATGGTTGCAGCTTCAACAGAATGGGGAAGAGATTATACAGAGTAAACAGTGAGAGAGCTCACACACACATAAACACACAGACTCGAAAGCGAGCGCGTGCATTTCTAAACACAGTCGAAAGAGCACAGACGCAGAGAATTGAACATCCGGATGAGCGCTCAGCTGTGGCAGCCGAATCATCATCATCATTCGGATGATTCTGGGGAGGATTACAATAATGATGAGGTTGGTTTAATCAGAGCAGGGTCAGGAACCGGCTGTTGGGGGACGGAAGGGAGAGGGAGAGGGAGTGGGGGGGGCACACAGACTTGTGTGAAGACTTGTGTTTCCCTGCAGGATCCTGTTAGAGAAATGGTGAGCACCTTACACCCTAACCCCTCCCTCTGCCTGCTGTTTTGTGTGCACACAAAAAGGTGCACAAAGATGTTATTCACTACAAATCGGGCCTTACGGTGAACAATGAATGCTTGCAGGTATCATATACAGGTCACATTAATGGCGCGTTTCCACCGAGCGGTACGGTACGAGTCGGGTCGGTAGGGGTCGGGTCTGTTAACCATGATTTGGCGAGCGTTTCCACCGCCAACAGTACCCTTACTTGATAGGCGTGGTGTATTCCAGAAAGTAGTGATAATGTCACTTGATAGGTGTGGTGTATTCCAGAAAGTAGTGATAACGTCACTTGATAGGCGTGGTATATGACGGAAAGTAGATTGACATTGTCATTCGATCGCGCGAAAACTGAAAGCTAACCGCAAACAACAATGGAGGACATACAGCCGATCCTGTTCTTGCTTCTCGATATGTGGCTGTTTGTCACGAGGAGACGATAATCTTTGTTTGAGCAAAGGCTACATGCTGCAAGGAAAAACACAGGGGAAAAATACAGGCGAATTCGGGAAGTTTTAAGGAGCTGGGATGAGATAGACAACCGCGTGAGTCAAGACAAGGCAAGACAAACACGACGGCGCAAGAGGGTAAGCTTGAGCTAAGATATCTTTTTCATGTCATGTATTAATGTATTTCGTCTTATGTGCTAACTATATTCTTATGAATTAAATAATCCTAAACTGAAAAGTACAATAAGCCCTGCCTGTGAAACCAGATTTTAACTGTGCTAACTGTAAACTACAGTCTGTCCATTATTTACGCACTATGAAGGTTACTTATTAAGATTATTAAACTCTCACATGAATGTGTTGATTCCTGATATTATTTCAAGTGCAATACTAGTTGTGGTTAATGATTGATTATTTTGAGAAAATAGTTATATCTTTAAGCTAGTTTTTCTTTGTGCTTTAATGACACCAAAGTTCCCTCTCTGGTGCAGTATATTAGATATTTTAACAAATGTATATATTCTTTCGTGTCCAAGGGTAACACAACACAATGTTTATAATACTTTATATAATACTTTATGTATTTTTTCATCTGGCGTATGATAGTTGCCCTAATAATTAAATGACTTGAACACACCCACCGTCACTGTGACATTGTTTTAACCTTAACATTGCTTTGTATTTTCTAGATAATAAATCTGTTGCAAAATCAGCGCGGCAGACCAACCATTTGGACTTTCAGCCGCTCAAATGACTGGTGGGATGTGATCGTTCCAGGATTCACACACATACAGTGGGTGCACAACTTCAGGATGTCTGAAGAAACATTTATATTCCTTTGTGCCATGGTGCTTCCAGCAATGGAAAAGCAGGACACAAACTACAGAATATGTGTTCCCGTAAAGAAAAGAGTTGCCATTGCACTATGGAAGCTTGCAACCAACGGCGACTACAGAAATATTTCCCATCTTTTTGTGTCGGTGCGTCCAGGAATTCTGCAAGGCCGCTAGCAATTTGTTAGTTCCAGAACAGATACGTTTTCCTGACCAGCAGCAGTTTAAAGAGATGGCAGCCTACTTTGAGGACCGGTAGGGGCTTCCGCAGTGTGTTGGTCACACATACCCATAGTAGCCCCAAAGGAATACCACTTCCATTCCATTCCATCATCCTGCAAGAAGTAGTTGACGGAAAAGGACTATTTTGGAGTGCATTTGCTGGAATGGCTGGAAGTTTGCATGATGCACGGGTTCTGAGACTCTCTACATTGTGTGAGTTAGTCGAGTGTGGAAGCCTCTACCCGGCTTACACAAGAAACATCAGTGGGGTAAATGCTGGCTTTTATGTGCTAGGAGACTCTGCCTACCATTTGCAGAATTGGCTCCTAAAACCATTCCCTGACAATGGCCGGCTGACAGCAGAACAACTGACCTACAACAAAAAAGTGTGCAGGGCTCGGGTGGTGGTGGAAAATGCTTTTGGGAGACTCAAAGGAAGGTGGCGGTGCCTTATGAAGAGGAATGACAGCGACATCAAATTGGTGAAGTCCATGGTGTTGACTTGTTGTGCTCTGCACAATCATTGTGAACGGCATGGAGAGGATTACCAGCACGAATTGGATACACCTATTGCGGCGGAGCCTGTGGTTCCACAGGCACAGGGCGCAGAGGAGGAGGGCAGGGATGTACGCGAGGGTCTAATGCGTTATTTGAATAGTTAAATCTGTTGTACACCTGTATAAATGTTTAGTTTTGATTTTATTGAAAATGAATAAATGCTTTTTACTTTTACCCTGCCTCTTCATATTTTGTGAAATATTTTTGCCGCTGCATCTTAGGTAGATGGTGTTGAAATATGAGGTATAATTCATTTTGGGTAGCTATATCAAATGGACAATCTGGTGAAAATGACCTCGTGAGGGACGTGAGTGTTGATATAATGGAAGACATCGGTGGGCTCCGAGGTAGCATGCTAGCATTAGCAGATCAAATCGATCAACATGGGTTTTCTGCAGATACGATTTTGACACATAGAGGGGTTTTTGGAAATACTAGGGCGGATAAGTGCTCTTCAAGATGTATACATATACAACGAAGTTTTAAATTGTTTAAGACTGATTGAGCACCGCATGCGTGTGGAAGAGGTCCAAGTTGAAGAAGTCAACATTAGCGCTGGTACTACAAGCACAGGTGCTGGACGCCTGCCTCTGGGTATTCCTGGCGACAAGCTGGCTAACTTTGTGTTGTCCGGTCTATCAATCCGAGAAATCCAATATCCAGGAATATCCAAAGGCGGGCATCCAGCACCTGAAAAACTGAAAAATGGCATTATGAAATAAAAGACTCTGGAAATGAAAAGTGGCATTATGAAATAAAAGACTCTGGAAATGAAAAGTGGCATTATGAAATAAAAGACTCTGGAAATGAAAAGTGGCATTATGAAATAAAAGTACCATGAAATGAAAAGTGGCATTGTGAAATAATAAAGTACCATGAAATAATTAAATGTATTTAATATTTATTGCATTATGAAATAAAAGTACCATGAAATAATTAAATGTATTTAATATTTATGTATTTATTGCCTCATTTATTCATTTCATGATGTATTTCAAATGCATATTTCATGTATTTACGTATTTAATCATTTATTTAATTTTGACTAAAATGGCATTCCATACTTTAGTACCAAACAACTGTGCCAGGTACCCCAACGGAAGGGTACCCAAAAAGTGGTACGGTACGGGTCGGATTTTTGGTACTATTCTCAACTTTTGGCAGTGGAGACACAAATAAAAGGGTACCGACCCGTACCGCTCGGTGGAAACGCACCATAAACTGAAACTTTAGTGCATTGTGTACACCAATGAACAATAGAAACTGAACGGTGTTCAGCGTTTCAGTTGGGCGGACACAAAGAGCCGATTTGACACTGAAAGGTGTCACTGAAAGGTCAAAGGTTCACCTTGCGGTGACCATTGTGTTGTCTGTTGAAATATTTCGATGTAATTGTCATAATTACGACATGAATAAGTTAAAAACATTTGGTGAGGTCACTGTGACCTTTGACCACCAAATTCTAAACCAGTCCGACCCAGTGGTCGTCTGGGGGCCAATTTGTAGAAATGCGCTCAGAAATACATTTTTTTTCAAGGTCTGTCAGTTTCTTCTCACACTACATTCGGTGTCACTCTCTAAATACGCCACTTTGTTGAAAATAAAGAGATATCTTTTCCACTGTGAAAATAAAGGTGAGGATACATATATCTATTTTGCATTTTAGAGTTACACCGTTCTAGTTTGTTCAATTTGCATTAACCCCCCTCAGTAGCTCTCAGTACAAAACACCACCTCAAGCTGGTTTTGCTCCGACCACCAGAGGCTGCGAAGTCGTTGAACTCTGCAACTCACTTCCCTTAAACCACTCTGCAGCTCCGCCTCTCATCCTGCGTCACTCTCCATTTCCAGATGGCCCCTCTCCTCCTCCTTCTCCTTCTCCTCCTCTACGGCCACTCTCTTCCTCCTCTTCCTCTTCCTCCTCAAGGCCTTTACAGCTGCTGCCTGGTTGTCAAGTCCATCACTTGCTTTCTCCTTCCCTCCCTCTCTCTCCAACCTTCTCTCTCCTCACCTGAAGCAGCTGTCACACTCCTATGGCTCCGTCTACTCCCTAACACACTCACACACACTCACACACCCACACACCCAGACACACACATCCCAGACATACACACCCCACACACACACCTCACCTCACTCTCTCAGTGGCCTGGCCTTTGCGGGTGCCAATCAGGCCTGCCCACAGTGGCCATTAACATTTCACCTCCAACAGGCCCTGACATTTCTTGACACACTGGAGGGCAGAGAGCGGCGGCGTCGCACACCTTCCCTCAGTTGCTGCATCTCCTCATCTCCCCCTCTCAATTCTGTCCCATCTGGCGTCTTCCTTGCCCGCCCCCCACCTGTCAGTCTTAAAATATAGACACAAGGCTGTCTCCCAGACTAACCCGCTCTTATCTGCATCTCTTTCTTGCCCAGTTTCTGCTGCAGAGTGACCGCCCACGCGCTGAAGCCGTCGTCCGGTTTCCACTCTGAGGAAACCCGTTTATCAGGGGATCCCCAGGCGGGATGATGGTTAGCCTGAGGCGCGGTCTCAAGTCGACAGCTTATGCTGCTGTTTGTATAAAAGGGCCGGAGCGCCGCCTGCCATAAGCTAATAACCATGTGTTCTGCTGCCGCAGATTTTCTAGTGCTGAAATTCATCTGCCAGGCATGTTCATTCTCAATTTCCACTTTAATTTAATTTGTATCTGCCGAGGTCCATTCCTTCTCTTTAGAAACTCTGTTCCTGTTTCAAAGACTCTTCCCCTTTTCTTCAATTAACCTCTTTCATCTTCTCACACTGATGAAAGGCTCATTCAATCTCATCCCCCTACGCCTCACAATTCAGTCCCTGCCTGTCCTTTACAGCAGCCTGCTGTAGCCAGGACACATAAAAGAAAGAAAATAATGTTTCACCGTGTTTTTAGACCTTCTCTCCTCAAATCAGGAATCAGAAATCAGGAATCAGGAAACATTTATTAGCCAAAATATGTCAAACATACAAGGAATTTGTCTAGGCGGTTAGTGCGTGACAGTAGACAGACAAGACAACAGTGCACAAGTAATAAAATAAAGTGGAATGAAATGCTAATGCAATGGGTTAGTAGAATAAGGCTAAGGCTATGGGTTAGTATAAAACAAGGGAATAAAGTTAAAAAAATTTAAATATTAAAAAGTTAAAAAGAAAAATATTAAGCATAAAGTGCACTAACGAACAAGTAACAGACAAGAGACAAAGTGACAAGTGACGACAAAGTGATGAATTGCAGTTAAAGTGGCATGTGCAGTATGAAGGGGAGTGACCGGTGGAGTGTTATAGTCAGGCAGTGGGGGACTGGGCTCTGTTGATGAGCCCGACTGCCGACAGGAAGAAACTGTTTGTGTGGCGGGAGGTCTTAGTCCTGATGGACCTCAGCCTCCTCCCAGATGGAAGGGGCAAAAACAGTTTCTTGTCCAGGGTGGGAGGGGTCGGCCGCGATCTTTTTAGCTCGCTTCAGAGACCTGGAAGCGAACAAGTCCTGCAGGGACGGCAGATTGCAGCCGATCACCCTCTCTGCAGAGCGGATGACCCGCTGAAGCCTGCCCTTGTCCTTGGCTGTGGCTGCAGCGTACCAGACGGTGATGGAGGAGCAGAGGATGGACTCGATGATGGCCGTGTAGAAGTGGACCATGATCGTCTTTGGCAGGTTGAATTTCTTCAGCTGCCTCAGAACAACCTCTGCTGAGCCTTCTTTGTGATGGAGCTGATGTTCAGCTCCCACTTGAGGTCCTGGGTGATGATGGAGCCCAGGAAACGGAAGGAATCCACAATAGTGACGGGGGAGTCACACAGGGTCCAGGTTGTTCTGGCTGCACCACGACACCAGATGGTCAGACTCCCACCTGTAGGCGGACTCGTCCCCACCAGAGATTAGTCCAATGAGGGTGGTGTCATCCGCAAACTTCAGGAGCTTGACGGACTGGTGGCTGGAGGTGCAGCTGTTGGTGTACAGGGAGAAGAGCAGAGCAAATATTACACACCTTAGGAGAGTGCCTCACTGTTATAAAAAAATGTATTAAAATTGAATTAAAAATAAATGTTAGTAGTTGGAGGTACTCACGTTCAGCCTGTCAAAGAGTTCATCCCCAGGATTTTTGTCCTCCAGGAACATATTAAGATTCTTAAAAACCTGAAAAGACGCACATACAAATTGCATAATTTGTATCGTAGAAAACTGTCAGTTACCACAAATCAAATCACCCACATTACAGTGTGTTACAACTAAGGCAATTTGTGCATCCATCTCAAACCCTGTTTGTATGAGCTAAAAATTGCATCCAATGTCTGAGTACATTCATTGTAAAAAGTGATGGTGACTTTAAAAGGTGAGCTTACTGGTCAGAACTAAAAACACCAGCAACTACACTCTTACACAAACGCATCTCAATTAGCAATGTTAAAGACAAAAGGGCCTTGAGTCAGACTTTTTTCGTCCATCTTGGGAAACTGTATCCATTACATGTGACATTTCCAGCTTCTGCAGCTGCACCGGTCCCCTTGTAACCTTGTAAAATATGCAAGGCCCCAATTAACAGCAGATGTGTTGCTTTACAGAAACACACAGACCGATTTGTGGGGCGGAACGGCGTTCCCCACGGCATACAATCTGAAAAGAATATAAAAGGAGCGCTTTTGGGATGGAAAATGGGAATCGGTGTCGGCCTATAAGTCCCAGAGCAGGAGAGAAACCAAAGTAAAGCTTGTATAATTGATGTGATTTACACACAATGCATGTATGCATCTGCAGGTGTACACACACTGGGGCTAGTTAATAAAGTAATTCGGTGCAGCTGGTTTACAAATTGAGAAATAAGTAGGCATTTGTTTCAAACAATAGAGACACACACGGGGTGCTAATTAGTCACTGTGTGGCGTAATTGTGAAAGGTGCATTAGAAATGGCTATGTCCGGGGTGGGAGGGGTCGGCCGCGATCTTTTTAGCTCGCTTCAGAGACCTGGAAGCGAACAAGTCCTCCAGGGACGGCAGATTGCAACCGATCACCCTCTCTGCAGAGCGGATGACACGCTGAAGCCTGCCCTTGTCCTTGGCTGTGGCTGCAGCGTACCAGACGGTGATGGAGGAGCAGAGGATGGACTCGATGATGGCCGTGTAGAAGTGGACCATCATCGTCTTTGGCAGGTTGAGTTTCTT